TTTTTAATACCAACTGATACATAGGTATATTCATTTCGGATAAAAAAATTGGATAATAACGAGTACACAACTCGAATTAAAATATTTCAGATATCAAAAATTACACCTCAAATTCAGATAATACATATACAATTCAAGAATAATTCGGATACACTTAATCACTAAGAGAACGGACAAGAATCAAATTCATGTTCGGATAATTTTGGACAATTATAATATCTCTTAATTAATTTAAAATGAATTTTTAGAAAAAAGCAATTAGATAATCTTATATTTTCTCATCATGATAAGTTTTGAAATTAAATTTTCAATAAAGCTTTTCATTAATTATTTACGTATTTTTAATTGTTCAAAAATTATATATCGAAGAATAACTCAATTTTGCCAACCAATATATTATTTATATTTGTGTTAATTTTAAAAATTTTTATTATTTATTTATTGGTATAAGATTTAATTGGACCATTAGATAATTTTATCTATTTGCTTTTTATATATTTTAATTATTTTATTAACGTTTATAGTTATTTGACAATATTTTTCAGTTAAAATCTTAATAATTTTGCTAGATTCTATCAAAAATCACAATGAAAATTCAATTAGATTCAACAATTACTATTTAAGATTATAAAAATTCAGCTAGATTCAGCCGAAAATCACAATTCAGCCAGATTCAGCAATTCAATCAATACTTTCCTCAGGTCGTTAACCAACATTCCAAACTTATGGTCGTCCGCAATGACCAATATATGGGGAGATATCACATTACCAAGAAAATAATCCAAACAGTGAATTAAAATCTCCTTGGTCATGATTAATTCGGGGAGTTTCTCCTTCTTCACACGTGGAAGATTAACTCCTCCTTGGTTGTCGTCAATGTTCATGGGGTTGTTTATTATCTCCATCAATCAGCCAAATTATATTCTTCGATTACTATTTAGACCCTATAACATTGTTTTAAATACTTGTTTGAGTGTTAACCTCATATTTTGTTTCTAACATCTTGCCATTTGCTCTGCTTGTCGACTCTTTCAAATTTCAACTTTAAATTATTTAGAGATTAGGTAGGATCAAATTTTACTTCTTTCATTTCCCATGTACCAGTTACTCCAAAATTTGAGATTGCACGAATTCCTCACCAATTAAAAATATCTACAAATTCATCCAACTTTGTAGATGTTAATGAATCCGGGAATTCATGTGGTGCGATATCTGTATTTATAATAGTAAATGTTTTCTTTTAATCGAAGCTACCAAAAAACATATATGACATGCTTAATTATTGTTTTCTTTACAAGATGATTGTAATGTTGGACTTCCAATTACAATATGTATATGTATTCAACCAATCACCTTTGTAGTTGCATGTTAAACTTTTTTTGCTTGAAAGTTGTAGGTCATAAATATTTCAACACGACTACATAATTACGTCTTATATTATTATGTGATTCTTATATATATATGTTAATCATAAGTACAAAATATTTAGAAAATTTACTAAAACTGTGATTTTATTAGTTTTATTTACAAAAAAAGAAGAAGATACAATAGATTATAAAAAACTATCATTTTGGTAGATTATTTGATCTGTGATAATTTTTTTTTTTCAACGGTAAATCTATGATAACTAAGAAGTTTTCTGTTGTATTAAAGTAGTAAGTAAATCATGTGGAAAACATATTTGACAGATCTCAGCTGCAACAACATTTTCATCTTGAACCTGAGTTTCATCAATACCATTCTGAGTTGCACCATCATCGTTTCTTTGCGTTTGACCTCCATCAATTTTTAAAAGAAGTTTAAATTTTTTTGTAATTTTCAATAAAATTAAATTAGATTTTTTCTTATATTAAAACAAGTCTGAAAAAAAAAGTTATTGTAAACTACTGTATCAAAATATTTAAGTCATACAAATTAATAAACTTTTGGCATCTCAGAAATTAATATTTTATTTGTCAATCTCGTGAAAGATGAAACAAATTTACTTTGATTTTACCGTAACAAAATCTATTCTACACCACATTACTAGGCCTGGGCGTTCGGATATTCGGATCGGATTCGGGTCGGGTTTTTCGGGTTCGGGTTTTTTGGGTTTAGAAAACTAAGACCCGTTCGGGTATTTTAAAACTTCGGGTTCGGGTCGGGTTCGGATCGGGTATTTCGGGTTCGGATTCGGGTTTACCCGAAGTATCCAAATATTAGAAATTTTGTATCCGATTCTATGCAAAGTATTGGAAAATACTCAAAAAATCTATAAAACCTAAGTATTTTATACCCGAATGTAACCTAAAGTAGTTAAAACACTCGGAAATATCTTAGCATCCGAATAATTTAGGCACTTAGGTTATTACAAGTATAAATATTACTAATATATTATAACTATGTACTTATATTTGGGTATGTTCGGGTACTTGTTCGAGTTCGAGTTCGGGTCGGGTTCGGGTTCGGGTTTTTGGGTTGTGAAGTTTAGAACCCGTTCGGGTATTTTAAAACTTCGGATTCGGGTTCGGACCGGGTTTTTTGGGTCGGTTCTTCGGGTTCGGATATTATGCCCAGCCCTACACATTACAATGTGCCATACGCAAATATTATGGGCCAACATTTATAGGCCCATAAGAAGCCCATAACATAATATCACCTATCGAGCATCATTTCAAAATTAAGATAAGATGTTCTGATAAACCTCTCTCCATGTTTCAGAGACACAAAGCCATCTTTACGCAAAAACCTCTCACTCTGCGTTTCTAATGGCGACTGTTCTTACCACAGCCATTGATGTCTGCTTCAATCCCCAAAATTCAGACACAAAGAAACACAGTCTATTCTTAAAGCCTTCTCTTTTAAGACAATCTCGTACCAGAAAACTCAACATTTCTTGTAGTTCTTTGAAACAACCTAAAACCCTAGAAGAAGAACCAATCACCACAAAAACTCCATCTCTCTCTGAGCAACTCAAGCCTCTCTCTGCAACAACACTCAGACAAGAACAAACCCAAATCTTGTCTAAACCGAAATCTGTCTGGGTCAATCCAACAAGACCCAAAAGGTCAGTTCTTTCACTTCAGAGACAAAAACGTTCTGCTTACTCTTACAATCCTCAAATCAAGGATCTTAGGGCTTTTGCTCAGAAGCTCAACAGTTCTAATTTCACTGAAAAGTCTGAGTTTTTATCTCTTCTCGATGAAATTCCTCATCCACCAGATCGAGATAACGCATTGCTTGTGCTTAACAGTTTGAGAGAATGGCAAAAGACTCATACTTTCTTTAATTGGGTTAAATCCAAGAATTTGTTTCCCATGGAAACGATATTTTATAATGTTACAATGAAGTCTCTGAGATTTGGGAGGCAGTTTTACCTTATAGAGGAGATGGCACTTGAAATGGTGAAGGATGGTGTTGAGCTTGATAACATTACTTATTCGACAATCATCACTTGTGCGAAAAGGTGCAATTTTTACGACAAAGCTATTGAATGGTTTGAGAGAATGTATAAAACGGGGTTGATGCCTGATGAGGTCACTTACTCAGCAATTCTTGATGTTTATTCCAAGTTAAGAAAAGTTGAGGAGGTTCTTAGTTTGTATGAAAGAGCGGTGGCTACGGGTTGGAAACCCGATGCTATAGCGTTTTCTGTGTTGGGGAAAATGTTTGGTGAAGCAGGGGATTATGATGGGATTAGGTATGTTTTGCAAGAGATGAAGTCTATGGATGTGAAGCCTAATGTGGTTGTGTATAATACTTTGTTGGAAGCTATGGGGAGAGCTGGGAAACCGGGTTTGGCGAGGAGTTTGTTTAATGAGATGCTCGAGGCGGGATTAACTCCGAATGAGAAAACTTTGACAGCTCTTGTGAAGATTTACGGGAAAGCGAGGTGGGCGAAAGATGCTCTTCAGTTGTGGGAGGAGATGAAGGCGAAGAAGTGGCCGATGGATTTCATTTTGTACAACACGTTGTTGAATATGTGTGCTGATATTGGATTGGAGGAAGAAGCGGAGAGGCTGTTTAATGATATGAAGGAGTCTGTGCAATGTAAACCTGATAATTTTAGTTACACAGCGATGCTGAATATATATGGGAGTGGTGGAAAAGCCGAAAAGGCGATGAAATTGTTTGAAGAGATGTTAGAAGCTGGAGTTCAGGTTAATGTGATGGGGTGCACTTGTTTGGTTCAATGCTTAGGGAAAGCTAAAAGGATCGATGATTTGGTTTATGTGTTTGATCTCTCGATTCAAAGGGGAGTTAAGCCCGACGATAGGCTCTGTGGGTGTCTGCTTTCGGTTATGGCCTTGTGTGAGAGTAGTGAAGATGCTGAAAAGGTCATGGCTTGTTTGGAGCGAGCTAATCGGAAGCTGGTGACATTTGTGAATCTGATTGTAGATGAGAAAACCGAATTTGAGACCGTAAAAGAAGAGTTCAAGTTAGTGATCAACGCAACCCAGGTAGAGGCAAGAAGGCCCTTCTGCAACTGCTTGATAGATATATGCAGAGGCAAGAAGCGGCATGAGAGAGCTCATGAGCTTCTCTATTTAGGAACACTTTTTGGTCTATACCCGGGACTACACAACAAGACCATAAAAGAATGGAGCCTAGACGTGAGGTCATTATCAGTTGGTGCGGCTGAGACTGCTCTCGAAGAGTGGATGAGAACACTTGCCAACATCATTAAACGCCAAGAGGATCTTCCTGAGCTGTTTTTGGCGCAAACTGGGACAGGAACTCACAGATTCTCACAGGGATTAGCAAACTCTTTCGCCTTGCATTTGCAACAACTCTCTGCACCATTCAGACAGAGCGATAGGGCAGGTATCTTTGTGGCTACAAAGGAGGATTTGGTGTCATGGTTGGAATCAAAGTTTCCACCTTTAGTTACTTCTCAAGCATGAAATATCATCCTCTTTTATCCTAAACTAAAAAGCAACATTATTTTTCCCAGTAAAGTTGTTTATAATTGTAATAGCATATTGAATTTTCAATCTTTTTGTATTACCATAAGGAAGAAGGAATCAAATTAGTTATTTGCAGTCTTATTCTCTCTTTCCCCCAAAAGATTTGACTTTTCATAAAGATTCATGCAAAAAAAGAAGCTCTCATTTCACAAAAGTAAACAACACATTCAATCTCTCTCTTACATGCATACACACCTTTCAGTTACAGTCTGAAAAGACCCATAAATATTTGGGACTTCCTCTTTATAGCTTAGCAGCGCCAGCTATTCTGTCGCTTAGCATCATATGCTGCACCATCGTTGAGCATATCTTGAGCATCTGTCTCCATTCCGAGCTTTGAGAGCGCTAAAGCCTGCAAGTAAAAAGCTGTTGGCCATTCTGGTATGCACACCTGTGCCTGCATTGCATCTCTCAGTGCAAGCTCCTGTTGGTCTGTCATTAAGTAGGAGAAAGCCCTTCTAGCGAAAACTGTTGCAGAAGGAACCGGCATCATCCCAACCAACTGGAAACCATAGATACAGAAGTTAGAAAATCTTGTCGGACACCGAGAATTATGGATTTGTTGCTTTTTTTCTCTCACCTTTGAGTAGTATTCAATTGAGTTCTTGAAATCCTTGTCTCGGAAAGCAATGTCCCCGAACTTCTTTGTGTTGAGCATCTCCTGCACTTGTTGTGTCCATTCTTGAAATGAAAGCTCATTTTCTGCACCTTCCTCGTCTCTGTAACCGGTTTTAAGCAAAATGTCGTGAAATGTTGCAAGGTCCATCTTTGCACAGGCCTTTCCAAGAGGAGAAAGCATAGTTGGTAATATTACTGTGTTCTTTGGTAAGCCCATTAAGACATGAGAAGCAACCTAAGCAACAAAACCAAAACCAGGATAAACAATTTGGATATGAAATTTATGATTCTGTCGATTTCAGGAGGGATTATTTTATACCTCTTCTTGCTTTTGTAGTGGTGCTACTGCAGAGAGAAGAAATTTGGTATCTGGTCGATCCTTTGCCTCTGATTGAAGGCATTTTGAAGCAAGCTCAACTAATTTAGTCGCATCTTCATTCGCATATTGCCCTTCAAGAGATGAATCCATAAGCAGCAACGCATTTTTCCCTCTTATGATATCAAGAGCCTGATATGAAACATCACCACCAATTCAGATAAGACACTAAAGAAAACCGCGGCTAATTGACGAGAAACTGACATAAGTGAAGGTGACTAGAAGCACTTACATGGCTAGGTGGAATGTGTTTGCCGCTCAAAAGATCTAAAAGAATAGTTCCATAACTGAAGATCACACTTTCAGGAATGACTCTACCTGCATAACAAAAAAAAAAACAGAAACCCTTAACCTTCAATAAGGAATTGGTTTGTCTTGAAGTACGATTCACAAGATCAAGAATGTTACCTGTCCGTAAAAACTCAGGTGGAGTATAAGCTAAGTTGGTACTGTAGCTTTTTCCATCTCTACTGTTCTTCATAAGACCAAAAGTAGATAAACGAGGATCACCTTCCTCGTCGAAGAGGATTCTGTATGCATTGAGGTCATGATAGATTTTTCGGTTCTCGATATTGCAGTAATCAAGTGCTTGTGCAATAAAATCTGCGATTCGAACACGCATATCCCATGGAAGTGGCTGCTTTTCCCCTACAAACAAACACAGAAAGAAGAGTGTAAATCATCTAAACAAGACTATAAACCAAGCTTATAACAAGAGAAAGATAAGACTATTACAGTGAAAGAGATGCTTTGAGAGAGTATCATTGGGCATATACTCTGCTACCAACAATCTCTCATCTCCCTCAGCGCAGCAACCAATCAAACTGACTATCCTCTTGTTTCTAAGCTTCCCAACACCAGTTGCTTCCACCTGATTTCATAAGTCAACCAAGGTCAACGACAGGACAAAGCTCTCATTTTTGTTATCTCAGGTTTCTATTTTGACTCTAATTATCAACAGTCAAGATAAATAGTCAAGACATTAGTCGAATCCTAGGATTTAAAAGCAGCTTTAAACCCAAAGTTGTCGACTTTTCTACAATTCAGCGGTAACCAAACTCAGGACAAGACAAAGCTTATTCTTTAGAAAACTGATGTCATTTTCCTTTTCTGTAACTTAAAACTACACCTAAATCACCATTCTTTTGACAAGTCATTGATGTCACTTAGGGTCTCTACTCCGATTCCTGTGTTTTAAAAAGCGCGCCTAGGCCTCGCCTAGGCTCAAGGCGCAGTGAGGCTAAGGGGTTAGCGCCTCAAACCTATTCAATGAATCACTAAACAAGATACAAAACAACAAATCATGCATTGACATATCTCAGATTTCTTACCACAAACTGTTGAGCATCAGGCCAAGATTGCCTAGAGAACCGCTTGATGGCTACAAGATGATTCCCTTCAAGCTTCCCTCTGTAAACCACATTAGGAGCTTTCTCTCCACCTTCAGAGACAATGCAGCTAGGGCTAAACCCATTTGTTGCTTTCCTCAACTCATTTAGTTCAAATTCTTTGAAATTTTGGATTTCTTGATCCACTTGGTCCCCATTTACTGTAACCACACAACAACAAACACATAGCCGAAAAAGGCAAATTAATCTAAACAAGAGTTTAATTCCAAAAAGGAAGAGACTTTACAACTTTTTCTCTGCTTTAAGCCATAAAAAACCCTAACCCCACAAATTAAAGCAAACCCATATCAAGAACAGACGAAAAACTGCAGATTTACTTAGTAAGCAAACAAAATGCGAGTTCTTGAAATCTAAGAGATTATTATTATTATTACCTGATTCTGGTTTGTTTGGAGCTGATGGATCATCAGAAGAAGGTAGATTAGCAGTTTTGGAATGTAAACAACCCATTTGTCTCACATCAATAAAAAAAAATGAACAATTTGTTCTCAACAAAGATCAGAAATTTGGATAAGAAACAGAGATTTTTTGTGTGTCTTGTGTTCTTGGATTGAGGTAATAAAAACAATGGTGGGATTCGATTTGAGGTTTGGATTTGTGCTTTGTGAGAGAAGCTGAGGAGGCAGTAGAATTATAAAAATTTAATAAAATTTGAAAACTTGAAGACAAAAAGAAGTAGCTAGAGAGAGAGAGAGAGAGAGAAAGATCTGAAAAATATAGCTTCAAAAAGCTGCAGAGTTGAAAAAATAGAGGTAAGAAAAAGAATAGAGTCATGTGAAGCAAAAATCTTTAATTTTCTGGTCTATAAGATTCGGTACTATACACGAAATTTTAAATTTGGGTTTCAGTTTTTACCTGTGAAATATATACTATGAATTAACCAAAAGTAAATTTTTTATTTTTCAATATGTTAAATCTTTTCAAATATGTTTATGTTGTAAACTTATTGTTTTCAATATCTTAATGAATGAAGTTCGTTACATATATATACATAATGAGAGGAGACAAATCCTCATTGGGTTAGTAAACCCTAAAGCCCAAAAGCCCACTAAGTATAAAATGGATCCTAAAAGGAGAATCTTTTAGAACATGGGCATGGGCCTTCTAGGACATGGACACGGGCCTTCTAGAATATGCATAAGGCCCACGGTTATGGAGTCCATCCAACATGTGGTTTATAACACTCCCCCTTGGATGACATAACCATGTAGATGCCAAAGGATCTCAGCAATACGCTTGGGGATGCTGCCTCATTAAAACCTTACCAGGAAAACCCATTGGGATAAAACCATGGTGAAGGAAAAAGAGTACAGCACGTATTACTCCCCCTGATTTGGTCATCCCTGTAAGTCCTTAAGTCTCCGCATCCCAATCTGATGCGTGAGCTTCCTCAATGTTGATGTTGGTAGCGCCTTGGTGAAGAGATCGGCTGAGTTGTCGCTGGATCGAACTTGTACCACTCGAACTTCTCCATCCCTTTGCAAGTCATGCGTGAAGAAGAACTTTGTTAGAATGTGCTTTGTCCGATCTCCCTTGATGTAGCCGTCTTTGAGCTGGGCGATGCAGGCTGTGTTGTCTCCTCATATGATGGTCGTTGATGTTGTAGTAGCTGCGCCTTGAAGAAGGCTGCCTACGTACCCTTGGAAGGAATCAAGCCACACGTAGTTCCTATTTGTTGACCATGCCATAATCTGATTTTACCTGCATCAGCAAAACAAACTAAACCAAAGCAAACTAGACCTTCTTTGGTTAGATCAGTATAGAATAAAACCCAAATAAACAAACATAGGAAGAATAGAATTTAAAATTTAACCAAACCTTCATTCAAACCTTTCTAGTGCCTTTGGGTTGATCATGAACTAAATTTAGACAAAGGAGGTTCACGGCAAAACATATGTCTGGTCTAGTGTGGCTAGCCAAGTACATTAACGCTCCTATGGCACTAAGGTATGGCACTTCAGGATCGAGAACTTCTTCCTCATCCTTCTTTGGACCGAATGGATCACTATCCAATCCGAGGCTTCTCACCACCATTGGGTTGCTCAATGGGTGGGCCTGGTCCATATTGAATCTCTTGAGTACTTTTCAGTATATGCCTTTTGATGCACAAGGATTACATTATTCATGTACTCAAGTTGCAATCCCAAACAGAATTTTGTCTTGCCTAGGTCTTTCATCTCGAATTTTTCTTTAGATATTCGACTGTTTGGGCGATTTCCCCAGAGGTTCCAAGGATGTTCAAATCATCCACATATACTGCTATTATCACAAACCCTTTGTTTGCGAATTTCTTTATGAAGATACATGGACTGATGGGATCATTCTTATAACCTTCTCTGACTAGGTACTCACTTAATCTATTGTACCACATGCGTCCACTTTGTTTCAGTCCATAAAGTGATTTGTTCAGCCTTATGCAGTATTGGTCTCGAGACCCTTTCTTATCTTTATCTTTGAGCTCAATACCCTCTGGTAATCTCATATATATCATCCAGTGGACTTATATAAATATGCAGGCATTACATCCATTAGCCGCAAATCAAGTCTTTTTCTTTATATAGCCAGACTTAGCAAAATTTAAATGTCTTAGCATCCACCACAGGGGAGTATGTTTCTTCATAATCTATCCCCGGTCTTTGTGAGAATCCTTGTGCTACAAGCCGTGCCTTATATCTCACGATTTCATTATTTTCATTTCTCTTCTTCACAAAGACCCATTTGTGTCCTACTGGTTTTTACATCGAATGGTGTCCTTAAGGTCGGACCAAACTCATTCCTTTTCTTAATGATTCTTAGCTCCACGTTTGATGGTCTTGTACCATTTAATCAATCAAGTCTTTGAGTGCACTCTAGTATAGACGTGGGCTCCTGATCCTCATTTATATTCATAAATTCAAGTGCTACCTTGCATGCAAAATCATCTTATGTCGACATTTCTTATATGTTCCATTATGTTCCAGACATGATATAATCGATTTGAGATTTATTATGGTCATGACCTCTAATACTTTGCAGCTTGGCGTCCCAAGCTACATTATATGGTACCTGTACCTTAGAGCCGGCCGGCCTTATCTCCATGTCTGGGATGGTTTCCTTAGTAACCTCGGATTCCTATTGCACCTTTCTTTGATTTTCGAGGATTTTTATCTTTGGAACCTATTGGTCTACCACGTTTCTTTCGTGTGTTAGACTCGGTAGCAATTTCATTGATTCCTTTTTGGATATCAATACGTACTGGTGCATTACAAGCTGGTATGTACGTTTTTGTAACTTTCTTTGGGTCAGCAAAGGAATCTGGCAATTGATTAGCTAGCTTTTCAAATGTATAATCTTATGGACCTCTGATTCTCATGCCAGAGTCCGAGGATCTTGCCAATTTAAGGATGTTTGATTCCATTATATTTCTTTTATTGCTTTACCCAGCTTGTTCGTCTCTCCACCTATAGTAGGAAATTCGGATTCATTAAAATGACAATCCGCGTATCTAGCCTTAAATAGATCACCCGTAGTTGGCTCTAGATACTTAATAATGGTGGGAGAATCAAATCCAACATATATTCCCATCCTCCTTTGAGGTCCCATCTTTGTTCTATGTGGTGGAGCAATCGGTACATATATGGCACACCCGAAAGTCTTTAGATGGGATATGTCTGGCTCATGACCCATGAGTAATTGGGATGGTGAATATCTATTTTCACTAGATGGCCTTATGCGTATAAGCCCTGATGCATGTAAAACAGCGTGTCCCCAAGCGGCTACAGGAAGCTTCGACCTCATGAGTAATGGTCGAGCTATCAATTGAATTTGTTTAATGAAGGATTCCGCTAATCCATTCTGTGTATGTACATGTGCTACGGGATGTTCCACACTTACCCCCATGGACATACAGTAGTCATTAAACGCTTGGGACGTGAATTCACCGGCATTGTCTAGACGTATAGTCTTAAGCGGAAAATCTGGAAAGTGGGCTCGCAGTCTTATTATCTGGACCAATAACCTAGCAAACACTTGGTTTCTAGTAGATAGGAGACAAACATGCGACCATTTTGTCGATGCATCAATGAGGACCATACATATATCTCCTTGTATCCTTTCCATAAATTTTAAGGTCTCTTTATTTACCTTAGCCGGTGATGGCCTTATAATGAGTTTCCCTTGTGAACATGCTTCACACGTGAGATTCTTAGGGATAACTCTTTTCTCTTTTAGGGTGTGCCCCTTTGAATTTATCATAAGCTTACGCATCATACTATGACCCGGATGGCCAAGCCGGTCATGCCATAAAGTGAATTTCTCGATGAACTCTTTGTTCATTGCCATATTAGCTTCGATCATATCGATTTTAGCATAGTAAAGACCAGTGGATAATGCGGGTATAGTCTCTAGGACTTTCTTATGTCCTTGGGTGATCTCAATTATATTTAGGAATTCTTTGTTCCCTTCACCCTTTGTTTCAATATGGAAACCATTCAATCTTATATCTTTGAAACTTAATAAGCTCCTCTTCGAGCTGGGTGAATATAGGGCATCGCTTATTTCAAGATGCGTGCCATTTGGTAATAGAATATGGGCTTGGCCGTAGCCCTCAATAAGGTTTGCTATACCCGCTAAGTGCTAATATTGGCATTTTTCATTATGAGATTTAGGAAAATATCTCTTATCTTTTGTGTGGCTCCACTATCCACCACAATTATGTTCTTGTCCTCGGCCATTTCTTATATGGACAAGAATCATGTTCTAAACATAAAATAATATAAAATAAATTCAAGCAAATAACAATCAATGAACACATAAAATGCAAAGAAAAACATAGAGGTTTTGATGTCGAAGTAAAATTTATCAACTTGATTCTTTTATGCAATCAGAAGTTTCATACTCTATTAGATCATCTTGATCATGTTCACCATCTTTATATACCAAATGGGCTTTAGGATTCTTCCCTTTTACACTCTCTTGATAGAGGTCACAACGATGTTTGGAAGTCCTACATATCTTAGCCCAATGGTTTCCCATTCCATATCTATGGCATACTCATTTGGTCGAGTGTTGTGGTTTGGAAATACCACATCGTCCTCGCCCTCGACCACGGCCGGAATTGGGTCTACATCCACGGTTAAAGTGGTTCCCACGGCCGGATGAGTTATAGTGGCCACAACCACGTCCTTTCAATACCACATCTATGGCATACTCATTTGGTCGAGTGTTGTGGTTTGGAAATACCACATCATCCTCGCCCTCGACCACGGCCGGAATTGGGTCTACATCCACGGTTATAGTGGTTCCCACGGCCGGATGAGTTATAGTGGCCACAACCACGTCCTTTCCATCCACCACGGTCACGGCCGTGTGGTCTATCACTTTAGACGTGGTTAGATTCTTTGGATTCTTTCTTATCCTCTGCGGCCTTATTGGCATTAGGTAATGGGGTTAATCTATGAGGTCGTAATTCACTGTTTTTATCTGTAAGTCATTATTTTTTTTTTTTTTATCTAGCAATAGACTCATCCACGGACTTATAGTCCTGGATTATGAGACTCTCAATAAGATGGTGGCTAATATTGCCTTGTATCTATCTTTCTCTCTTGGCATTCTTGCCTTATTAGATACATTCACCAAGTCCTTTTGACTTTAGGTAATCTTAGTATCCATTGCCCATTTTAAAATAATTATCTCCTAAGAGATTTAGGGCAGTAAAGTACAAGTTGTAATTCAACATCTACAAGGAAAAGTTTTGAGTCAAAATCATGTAATCGTTAGTGTCATGCGGTATTTGAGACCGAACCATGAATCGATTTACTTAGGGATTTGACTTTCCTCTTTTGCTTAGGATTAGATTTCCTCTTTTGATTAGGATTAACTTTTCCTTTTCCTTTTAGGATTTACTTTCCTCTTTACTTTAGGATTAATTTTCCTATTTCTAAATATTTCCTAATTTGATTAGGGTTTTAGAGTTTTAAGATTTACTATTTAAGATTTTAGGGTTTTTAGGATTTCCTATTTTATTTAGGATTTAGGGTTGTTGAGATTTCCTATTATTTAGGGTTTTGATATTTCCTATTTTATTTAGGGTTTTAGGATTATCTAAGTTTTCTAGGGTTCATGCAATTTTAGTTTTAGGGTTTCTAACAACTTATGCATGTAATCAATCAAAGAAACAATCAAATTAAAAACGCCCTAAGCAAATAATTTGCGTAACCCATGTAATTTGCGATTTTTAGGTTTAGATAATTAAAACTTCTCTAGCAACTTAGGCGAGTTTAGCTTAAGCGATAATCAAATCAACTTTTTCTAGCAACCTAAACGAGTCAAACAATCGGATCTCACAAGCAAAGCAATCACTTAATCAATCATCATTCGTTTTAGGGTTTCTCTTTGCTTAACTTTCAAATTCAATTGTTGGCTCTTTAGCTTTAGGGTTTTGATGTTACCTTTCACCTTATGGGGTTGTATGGACTAGAACCGGGAGCTAAAGACCTCGGTAACTCACGCTGCTGCGACGAACCGCAAACAGTACCACGATGAACAGTACCACGATGAACAGTGTCGCGATGAACAGTGTCGCGATGAACAGTGCCGCGATGAACAGTGTCGGCGATGAACTGTGCCGCGATGAACAGTGTCAGCGATGAACAGTGTCGGCGATGAACTGTGCCGCGATGAACAGTGTCGGCGATGAACAGTATCGGCGATGAACTGTGCCGCGATGAACAGTGTCGGCGATGAACTGTGTCGGCGTGAACAGTATCGGCGATGAACAGTATCGGCGGTGAACAGTATCGGCGTGAACAGTATCGGCGTGAACAGTATCGGCGATGAACAGTGTCGGCGTGAACAGTATCGGCGATGAACAGTATCGGCGATGAACAGTGTCGGCGTGAACAGTACCGCGATTTTTAGGGTTAGGGTTGTTAAGAGTAAACTCGTGCTGATAACGTGTTGTAAACTTATTGTTTTCAATATCTTAATGAATGAAGTTCGTTACATATATATACATAATGAGAGGAGACAAATCCTCATTGGGTTAGTAAACCTTAAAGCCCAAAAGCCCACTAAGTATAAAATGGATCCTAAAAGGAGAATCTTCTAGAACATGGGCATGGGCCTTCTAGGACATGGACACGGGCCTTCTAGAATATGCATAAGGCCTACGGTTATGGAGTCCATCCAACATGTGGTTTATAACAGTTTAATCTATTTAGAATTTTTTGCTTTTTCAACATCTTCGTTTTAAGAGTTCAACAGTTGAATAAATTATTCAACATTTTCATTACACATAATCTTATGGCCGATGGGATACACAAAACTGTTAGCATATTGAACCAATTTTTGTTTAGAGTTTATAAATAAAATATAGTTCATAATAATAATGCCAACAACAAAATAAAAATAAAAAATCCTCGCTAAATAATTACCGACCGTTTTTACATATACTTAAATAGAATGGCTTAATTAGTTTAGTCAGCCTATAACATCTATTCAAATTGAAAAGCCTATATCAATTTTGTTTTTATGGTTTACTGTCTAATTTTATCTCAAACACTCGTTGGTGAATGGTGACATAATTGAAGGTATGAATTTGTACCGCTGCTATTTTAAACTACAAATCAAAGTCAACAATACAATAATGAAAATAATTGCTACATGCTCTGTTCTCTTATTCGCCTAACTATGCAGAAAATTATTAACACTCGATTGAGCAGTATTGATCCATGAGATAAAAATGTCAAGACGATTTGGTTTGTGTCATTCATTCATTCTTGTTAAATTTTATTTTGAAACATTGCGTTTTTTGCTTATATACTTTTGCTACGAATACGAGCCTATGACAATTTGTTTTTTAAAATTTATTGGACAAAGAAAATAGGTCACATCACATGACAAGTCTATCATGAGGCACGTGCCTCTCTCTACCTTATTGGGTCCTGAATTAGTGAATTTTACCGAAGATGGAAAGTAACTATTTCTCTTTGCAACAATTTTATTGAAAATTAAGGGTCTTTTAAAAATTAATTAAAATTTAGAAGTCTACCAACATAATCGGTATTTATTTTAGTATGATTTCAAAATGAATAAGTACCGTTATTACATGATTCTTTTCACACAAAAAGTCTTCGGTTGATATCAACCCCTTCACCGACAAAGTTAATAACGAATTTTGTATTTTGGAATAAAATTTTCGAGATTTTAATACTACACAGATCCTTAAATGATAGTACTTGTCTGAATCTTGAATAGTTTATCTTACTAATGTGGACCATAAACAAAAGAATCTTGGACCGAATCATACACTAATCATATGAGAATTTCTACAAAAGAAAAAAAAAGGGATAAAGCAAACAATTTTCGATATTATTATTCGGGATTTTATATTCCAATCCCAGTTACACAAAGAGCCTCTTTTGACTATTTTATTTTACTTGATGCAATGCAAATACATGAACTAATTTTTTTGCTAAAAAAGCTAATTTATTTTCATACAAGAAGAAAATAATTGTACAATTTCCCTTATTTTCATGGAAATTCAAATTCTGATTCCTTCCCCCTCTTCTTACTTCCTTAATCTTTCAACAAATCTAAATCACTATTCTTCATCTATTACAAAATTCAAGCATCATCATCAACAGAAAAAAAAAAAAACTTGGAATATCGACAATGCTTCATTCCTTGGATCTTCTAAAATTACGTGAAGAATCATAACAAGCTTCTATATTGTTCTTTTGTAAATGTACTAAGAACTTGTCTCTGCAACAAAACCAGATAAAGATCAATCTTAAAACAATGTCTATTTGACTCAATAGAAAGACTCAATTAACAAAAGGTTTTCAGCTTCTAACCGGCATCCTTCTGTTGTAATTTTCTTGCAAGCTTGTGCTTGGGCCTATACTTTTTCTAACTTTCTTCTGCGTCTCTCGCTGTTTCTTCAACTTGGATAAACTAAGTGAACCTTCAACTGAATCATTGATGAGGAAAAAACTTTCAATGGATGTAAAAAAAGAAATCGACAAGTGAAAGAGGATAAAGAACTATTCCAGGTTCATACCTTGCCATTCATATACAACTTTTTGTTCACCCTTGACGACTTTCGGATATTGGTCTATACGTGAATCCTCTTTTATTAACTCCTCAACCTGTGAATTAACCAAGAATATAAAGAACCATGAACCATGTCAGGCAACAAAATTGAGAGTTGGTTCTAAAAACATGATACCTGTAACAAATTGTTAGAGAGAATCAGATCAAGTATCAGTGACAGAGACTAAAAACAGCATACCTTAGTCCATAACAGAGGGTCTCTTCTTTCTCTAGGCAAAAGTAGATAATCACGTAACCAAGATGCGATAACCCAAGGCTCGCAATTACTAGTGTCTGCAGAATTTGATGCCACTGCATTCTCTTCCAGGAAGTCACAGACCTTATGAATCAATTCAAAATAAAACCCTGTTATATATATTTTACAAAAAAGACGAGGATAATTGACTAATTGAGATGCTGTGCGGATAAAGGGGTACCTGGTCGTATAACTCTTCCACTCTTCTTGAAAAATATCGCTTACGTTGAATTTTCCTACGCAATATTGCGCTGCCAACTAGCTGTACATCTCAACACTGTAAACAAGCTTGAAGATGTTGATCAAGTAAACTAAGCGACTCAAAAGACTGGCTTTTTCTAAGAATACAATACCATTGCACATGCGGACGAGATAATTAAGATGTGCCTCAAGAGCCATTGACGCATGCGGCAAGTCAAGGGTTTGTAGCTTCCGGCTACGGATTCAGGGCACTTCAACTCATCAATCCTTCAAATAAGTAAAAGATAACGTAAGAATCTTTAAACAATAGTTAGTAACCAAAAGAACTAATTAATCAGTGATGAAATACAAACCCATTAGAATTAGTCCTTTTCTCTAGTAGCTCGGTGACAGCTTCGACAGCCTTTCCTTTCAAAAAATTGTAAGCAGACTCATCTAAGTTATTCAAGAAACTGTTGCTACGTAGTTCTTCCCAAACATCATTCTCCGGAACCTGTTGAATCGATGATAACAGCTTAGTGCAATGCTCAATATTACCACAATATGAACACACAAGTAAAACCAAAACACAATAATTAAAGATATCATAAACATACCCAAATGGCTCCAGTGCCATAGCATTCATTATGAGCATATGCTTCACAAACTTTTCTCTCAAAATACCCAACCTGAATCCACAACACAACAAAGTGGCCAACATTTAAACCAAGAAATCAACAACACAAAAAAATATCTAAAAATTTTGATTTTTCGTATAATTCAATACCAATTTCTTAGTTGATTCATTGATTTCTCCATCTTCTACACATAAATTTCTTTGCTTTTTGTATCCAAGATTACATTTCAACTTCCCTTGGCAACATTCTCCATTAATTGGACAAGGTTCACAAAAATCTGAAACAACGAAACTGATTATTTCACAACGGAATTACACAATTCAACTATGAAATAAAGGAATTAATTATGATTCTCGAGCTTACCCAAGTCTGACTCGATGGAATCATAGTTACTATCGCAGAAAGATTTAGTAGGGTTTGAGCTCAGAGACTTAGCAAGGAAATTGCAGGTAAAAGCCACAACACAAGCGACAAGCAAAACTTTCAAGAGTCTGAAGAACTCTTCCTTGGAAGGAAAGAAGCTTTGTGGTGGCTCGAGCATTGATCTGATCGGAGAAGAAGATGATTTAGGGTTCCGTTTTGGAGTTCTGGTCTCCGATTTGGGTCGCTTCCTTGGTATCGAATCCATGATTGGAAATTTCGCAATAATATAAAAGTTTATATTTTTGAGAATGTGCCAAAAAAGGAATAAAGTTTAGATGTTTTGAGGCTTCTTTTATGGGCTTACTATTGATCCATTATGAGCCCAAAAATATAAAATTCAAAGTCCAATTACTTCCATAATGATAATGTTTCACATTTGTTACTATTGTTAACAAAATTAATACGCGTTTTTTAGTAGAATTTAAAGTTATACGCGTTTTATCTAAAGTATTTAACACAACCCTAAAAAAAAAAAAACTTCTTCTATCGCCGTTTTGTCTTCCTCCTCCTCCTCACTCTGACTCTCCACTCGATACTCCAAAATCTCGATACTTTTCCATTAATTCTTCCTCAGGTAAGCTTCTTCGCTTTTCTTATCTCTGTTGAATCATACTCCTTTCGCTATCTTCCATTGATTTCGTTTCTCAAAGTACATTTTTTCAAGGTTTTTTATCGATCGCGAAATTGATAAACCCTAATTTTGTATCTTCTTCTTCTATCGTAAGAATTTTTTGACGAGATTAGTCAGGATTTGGTCGGAATTTTGATGGGTATCTAATTGTTGTGTCGATTTTAATGGTTTTGATGTATAAACCCTAATTTCGAGTCTTTTGTTGTCGCGTAGATAAACCCTAATTTTCATTTGATTTTCTTATGCTTACAGGTTTCTTATGTTTTTGTAAGAATGGTTGCAATACCCAAACTTAGGATAAAGTTTGGTCCTCAAGGTTCTGTCAGAACATTCCAAACGTTTCCTGGTAGTTCAAAGAAAATTGAGCATTCACTTGGTGAAGAGCAATCGAAGAAGCGTGGACCTGAAGAGCTAGAGGATGTTCAAGCTAAGAAGAAGCAGAAGCTAGATTGTGATTGGTCTAGTCAGTGTTTGGTATTGTTACGTTTTTTGATGGAGCACCGTGTTGGTTGGCTCTTTGAAGAGCCTGTTGATCCTGTTAAGTTGGAGATTCCTGATTACTTCTCTGTCATACGAAAGCCAATGGATTTAGGCACTGTCAAATCAAAACTTTTGAAGAATGTGTATAGTAATGCAGATGAGTTTGCAGCGGATGTTCGGTTAACTTTTGCCAATGCTATGCGGTATAATCCTCCGGGCAATGAGGTTCACACGATTGCAAAGGAGATTAAGGAGATTTTTGAGGTTAGATGGAAATTACTCAAGAAGAAAATGGTTTCGAAATTGTCCGGGGTTGAAGTTACAGAAGGTTCTAAGAGACAGCCGGTTGAGTTCGATTGTTCCAGACATAGCAGCCCTGGAACATCAGCTTCCTCTGGGGTTTTCTCCGCGGGATCGACAAAACCAGCAAAAGAAAACTCCGCTCTTTCGTCAAAGCCAGTGAAAGCGCAGAGCAAAAAGGATACTCCTGCTGTGACGCTGAAAGCATTAGCAACCAAGGTACGATATATGATCAAAATCCTAGACTTGTTATCATTATCATCGTTAAGTTACTTACTGATATGATTGTCATATATTCGATATTTTCAGGTGAAGATTACAAAACTTGATCAGGGCTTTGGAGCCAGTTCGGCTGTGAAAATCCCAGCCAAAGGTACATTGTTGGAGAAATTATTTTCTGCTTTGTGGCTTCTCAGCATTGGAGCTTATCATTTGCATGACATGCAGGCTCAGTTCGAACTGCAGCCTGTAAATGTGGTTCATGTGGTAGGATTATTTGCATATGCCTCAAGTCCTGTAGCTCATCTGGAAGTGAAGTTTCTTCGTTAACGGTATATACAGACTCTTTCTTGATCTATGTCAAATTTAATTTCCTTTTAGTCTTGTCACTACCAAAGAGAATTCATGTTTAAATACTCTTGTCAAACAGGATTGTCAAGTAAAGAACATTTCAGGTGCACAAACGAGCGAGTCAGATCCTCGATCCAATGGTGAGAAACCTTGAGCGATCTTTCATAGTTTCATTCACATTTGTTATTCTCTATCACTACTTAACAGTATACCTTTAATTTCTATTTGAATGAAGGGTCTGTGACTTCAAAGAATGAGAGAAATGGTAGTGTCAATTCTCAGCTTGATAAACCTTCAAACGTTGCTCTGTTGGATAATGGTAAGTTTTTATTTCTCTCTTATGAGCTCAATCGAATCTGCGGAATTCCTCTTTTTTATTTGTATAGTTCGGTTTCTTAATACCATTCTATGATTGCTACAGAGTTGAAAACGACTTTTCCTGCTCTGCCGCCGGTACCTCCTGAGAAAGCTCTTCGTGCTGCAATACTCAAAGCTCAATATGCAGAGACCATTCTAAAAGCTAAACACAGAGTAGTCCTTGACCAGGTTTCATTATTTTCTTGATCCCAATTACTTAAACATACACTTTCGACAGCTTATGTTTTACTAAAAGTTGATGTCTTGTTTATTGACAGAATAACAAAGCTGATCTAATTAGACTACAGATAGAAAAGGAACAGATGGAAAGAGCACAACGTGAAGGTACACTATTACGTGTTCTAATGGAAGTAAAAAAAGGCTCAAACTTTTCGATGTTAGCCTCTTATGTTTCACAAAAAATACAGAGAAAGCTAGAATTGAAGCCGAGATGAGAGCTGCTAAGGTAGCTGCCCGAATGAGAGCACAAGCCGAGTTGAAACAAAAACGTGAGACACAACGGCTTGAACTAGCAAAGGTATTTTGCGGAATCTTATAAACCGTTTTTGCAGTTTCTTAAAACACTGTTTTAACAGAGTGAAGAACCATGAGTCTAATATCTGTAAACATGTCTATAGATGAAAAAAGGCTTCGATTTTGAACAAAACAACCACTTGAAATTGGAGAAAGATTTCGTGGAAGTCTGTGGATGCTCTAGTCTGACAAGAGCTTGGTTGTTACTAAGAGAGTTGGGTCTGGTTTTAAGAAGTGATGATCGTCCGGAACTGGAAGAGATCGGGTCAGAAAATTTTGATGCAACGAGAATCGAGGATCTTGAGGAAGGAGAGATCCTTTAAGAGTTTTCTCTAAAAGAAACCTCTTGGATGTAATTTTTGACCAGAACGCGAGTGCTTGTGACCTTAACTTTTGTTAATATATGAAAATTCTATTAAATTATTTTAGATGTCTTAGTGATCTAAAAACTGACTTTTCCTTTCACCATGTTTACATTTTAGTAATTAACTATGTCACATGTATCCTTCACTAACCTTTTCTGCTTTCAATGCTTTTTTAGTTTTTTTGATAAAACGTTGTGAATCGCATCAAATATGTTTTCACTAACCAAATTTAAATTAATATGTCGTTAGTCTTTGTATTAATAGAAAGAGACATTAGTGAGGGAAGGATTGGCAATTCACACTGACACAACACGTAAGAGTAATCAACAGAAAAAAGCCTCTTCGCTGATATCTAGCTCGGCCTTTTAGATATTGTTCGAACGATCTAACTCGTCTTTGTAACATACTAACACTCATTCCTGTAGTCGCCGAACAAATTTTTTTTTTGTTCTTCCCTAAAATCCTCTTATAAAATACTTTGTTCGATCTTGGTATCAACATATATTTGAAAAAGATGTGAAGTGATAAAATGAATGTAGAACACAAGGCTTATTAGCAACAAAAAAATTATAACATATCACAAGGCTCATTCGTGGAATTTAAAATAAAATTTTCACGTGGTGTATTATTTAACCATATATAGAAGAGACATGACAAATTAGAAAAAAATATAACCTTTTGATGAAAATATATATGATTCATATTATATATATGGTTTTAGTTTTGAAGATAAAATAATTTTAGTAAAATTTCCATTCTTAAGAATTTATAAAATGGTAACTTTAGTTTCTATTTATTTTTAATTATCAATATCTTTTAAAAAATATTAATTAATTGATATGTATAAATATAAACCTAAATCATAAAATTTTCTTACTATAATTCTTTGAATTATTAATTTGCCATATGTCATTTCTTTATAAAATGTATCCGGATTAAGTAAAAATAATTAAAAGATGAAGTAGGTATACATTTAGTTACATATTTTATAAGCATATTAATAGATATAGTGCCATATCTAGCTAGTACTACCATTTTCTACAAAAAAAAAAAAAATGATTTATTTGCAGAGGAAAAAATTGTTCTTTTCATGGAAAATATATCAAAATGTGAAAAATAATAATCAGGGATGTTGAGATAAGATTCTTGATATCTACCCTCATTAGCTGTAAAAGTGATCATTCTTGTATACCACATACTGTCATTAATCATTTAATATACACAAATTATAGAAAATAATATTATTTTTTGATGAAAAATTAAAAGCTCTATAGCAAAACTATGAAACTAAGTTTATAAAGTCCAAAGAGTGAATCTTAAATCTCTCCTTCTATAACCCTTAAAACCTTTCGATTTACAAATCAGAAAAAGCCCATCAATAGTCTTTTGATAAAAATTCTCTGTTTAACCAATAAATACGTAAACCAAAGAGGCAAGAGAAACAATGGCGGAGAAAGCAAAGAAGAAGAAAAAGGGAGAAGGAGGAACTCAGAGAATAGCGTTTTACAAGCTTTTCACGTTTGCAGATCGCTACGACATCGCTTTAATGGTCATCGGGACACTCTCCGCCATGGCCAACGGCTTAACTCAGCCGTTTATGGCAATACTCATGGGGCAGCTCATTAACGTTTTCGGTTTCTCAGATCATGATCACGTGTTTAAAGAAGTCTTCAAGGTTAGGACTTCAAATTATTGGTTATACGGTTTGTGACATTTTTCAATTCTTGACTAGTTGTTGTTACTTGTTAGTCACTGCTATCAGTTTAACTGAAATTAGAGGCTTAGAGCAGCTCCATCGATAGAAACTATGATTTCTTTTTAGTTATATAATTTCTTTTTCATTTTTTTAATAATTGAATCAATGGATACATATGGCATGTGTCCATTAATTTGTAGAAACGCTTCTCATTGTTTCTCGTTTGATATAATTACTTCAATAATTTTGTTTTTATTAATATAATTTGGTGAGATATCCTCCTCCATCCCACCCATGGAGGTGTCCTTACACCTAATTACTTTTGGTTTGGGTAGTCTTATATGAGAAT